TGCCTACAAGAAAGCTTTGGATAAGTGCCAACTCATGATATGGCTTAAAGCCATGAAATCCAGTATGGACTCCATGTTTGTAAAAATGTGTTAGTCCATAATAGTCTTACAAATAGGGTCAAACCTATTAGTTGGGTAAGCCTATTCGGATTATTCTAGTTATTGAAATCAAAGTCACCTTCATGAAATGTTCTTGATGGTGAGTATGTATGTGATACATCCTAAGAGTTTTGAAATCCAGAAATTCCTAGAAAGTTTTGCAAAATTCAGAAATTCATTGATGGATTCAAGTTAAGCATTAAGGAGTTGGAACATTCGTTTTGATTAGGCAATCAAACAGTTTGATTCCCTTAGTAGAACGAAAGAATTCTTTTAGAGACAAGAAGTTTAGTGGGAGCAATTGGTCTTTTAGTCTAGTATGTAGTTGACATACAGTTCATATGAAATGATATATCAATGCTTGAATAAGTCAAGCAGTGGTTAGAAAGATTGTTTCAATATGATAGACTTAGGAGATGTTGAGTACATATTGGGAATTAAGATCCATGAAGTGAATCTTGAAGAATGATTGGAATGAATCGAGAGACTTATGTTGATAAGGATCTTGACAAGTTCATGAAGCAAGACTCTGAGAGAGGATGTCTTCCCATGTTTCATGGTATTACACTCAGTAAAACTCAGTGCCTTCAAAAGCTAATAGAGTTGAGTTGTATGGATAGTGTACCTTATGCTTTTGCAAAAGGTCCATGTGCCATGAAATGTACAAAGCAAGATGTTTCATATGACTCGTACATATGTAGCAGGTTTCAAGCACATTCAGAATAAGCATACGGAGAATTACCAAGAATAAATCCTTGAGTACTTGAGAAGCACTAAAGGAATATTTCTAGCCATTATGTTAAATGGTAATTTAAGCAAGTAGTCAAAAGGTTACACAAATGCAAGTTTTCCAAACAGACAAGATGATTCTAGATGATGATCTAAATGCATATTTGTGTCTGGATGGAAAAGGACAGTGAGCTTGAAGAGTTCAAAGCAGAGCACTGTTGCATACTCAATGTCAGAATATGTGTATTAAACTATAGAAAGATATTTACAGAGGAAGTTCGGATTAGAATGTCATGTGACTAACAGGTCACCTTTGCCCAAGAACAAAGGGGCCAGAGTCACATCACAAATCCAAACAAAAGGATATGAGATATTACCTCAATTATGAGATCATTTACCAGCGGAAGGTCATGTTCTGCAAAGTTTTATTATGAGTGAGAAATCACTAAACCACTTCCATAGACTAAGGTATTAGAGTCATATTAAAGTCTTAGGATTGAAGCAAGTTATGTAATTTAAGTTGTATATGTTTTGAGAAAACATATTACATGAGAAACGCATCAATTTGCAGAATTATGTTTAAAATAGAAATTATTATTTCTCTTATTTAATTATGGTTTTGGAAATTAAATAAAATGTTCAAAATAATTATGAATTGATGGGCTCATCAGGTTGATGACCTGGTGAATTGAAACCCCAGGGGTGAACAAAATTTATACATTATTTAAAGTTCCTAGTTCGAGATCATTAAAGTGGACATAAATGATTTCAATAAATGGACTAGCATGTAAGATTGATTGGATAGCGCAGTTTCATGGGCTATAGGGGCATAGTGATGCTCGGTCAATCACTTGGATATGCATGAATGATGCATGATCAAACTATTGACCTACTTTGAATTTCAAGTATAGAGCTTCCGTATATATTAGTGGATTCCTTTGACATGAGTGGAACATTGATTTCATTCAATGGATGTTGTGACTGTGGTACACTCAAACGTCTAGGCGTAACTGGAGATTATAAAGGGTGTTTCCCGGTTATTTCAGAAGTTGAGTGGGAGTCATGTTACCACAAGATTGGATAGAGTCTACCTATTAAATTAGGAAATGTGTCATGGCCGCTTGAAGAGGGAGAATTCAGAAAATACGTGGCCGCGTTCAAATGCATTACACATTAATCATTTGGTTTTGTAATTCTAACTCAGATTTCAAGAAACGATTTGTAGATTAATATGATCTTGACATGTGATGCAATCATATTATCAAATCGACACATATATTGACTTAAGGAATTTGAATATTGCACCCTTGTCTCAGACAAGTGGGAGATTGAAGGAGTTATGTCTTCGTCGTGTGCAATTACTAGATATATAAATGGATCAAATTATGGAGATAATTAAGTTCGTACATTTGGGTCGTCGTTTTTCCATAGCTAGAGGTACTAACGATCTTTGGACTAGTAAAATAGCCCAAAGCCCAATTGGACGGATCCTATAAGGTCACACAAAGGGACTAGATCGAGCATTAGAGGACGAGGCCCATCATGGGCCTCATCACTCTAGGTGGCCGGCCATGTAGAGGATTAGAAGTGGTTTTTGGGCTTCGTGCCCTAGTCTAATTATAATGAGATTATAAATAGACTAGGTGCCTAGGTTTGCAGTAAGGAAGGAATTAATTGGTCAGTGTGATCAAATCCGAATTAGCAAACACGAAACCCAACCCTCTCAAAGTCCTCTCTCTCACACTGCTCTCTCCTCCTCCTAGGCGCCGGTGGTGTGTCGTGGTGGTGGTGGTTCGTGCGGTGGTCGGTTGTCCATAAAGGTGGTGATCGCGGTTTTCCTCAATCACTCGCCCAATCTAGTATTGGTGGACGGCTCGTTCGAATCTCGTGGACTAAGTAGAGGAGCAACGCTTGGGGCTCTATTCTCTTCCTGATTTGCTTGTCGAATAGCTTTGTGGAATTCACGCGTCAAAGGTATGATTATGTGTCTTGTGTCTTATGCATGTGATTCTTGGGATTGGTACTTGATTGAATATGATTCATGTTTTTCCGCTGCGTAGCACCTATAAACTCTTACAGATCTACCACCCCACCACCCACCTAAAATCACCAACCCCACCCCCGAAAATCATCACAACCCAAAAATATAACAAAAAAAAAATTAAAATCCAAACGTAACCCCCAAATGTGAACTCCGTCTAACAGCCACCACCCACCACCACCATAAATTGTAAAAAAAAAAAATACTAATAAAACAACAAAATAAAATCAAAATTGAAAAAAAAAAAAGAAATACATACCTTAATTAACCACACATAACCTCGAAATTGGGTTTAAGAGGTCAAATTCGACCACGAAAACTCTAGATCTAGAGTTTTCATGGTCGAATTTGACCTAAAAACCTTTAATTTTTGCATGAGAAGAGAGCAAAAGGGCGAAATAAGACAACCTTAACCTTTGTTGTTGTTGATTTCGGTGATTACTTGTTGATGCCATTGTTAATGTTGCCATGGTGGTGGTAAAAGAGGGGAAAGTGGAGGGGAAAAAGAGAAGAGAATGAAACAGAGAGAAGGAAATAAAGAGAACAAGCGAATGAGAGAGGAGATCGAAAGAAGAAGAGGAGATACAGAGAGAAGGAGGAGAGAGTAGGGAGAAGACGAAAGACAGAGAGAGGGAGAAGAGGAGAGTGGAGGGAGAAGACGAAAGACAGAGAGAGGGAGAAGAGGCGGATTGCCTTAAGGGGTTTAGAAGAGGTAATGTGTGTTTATTTTTATATATAAAAATTTCCGACGGAATATTCCGTCGGAAATTTTCGACGGACTATAAATTCGTCGGAAAAAGTTAATTTCCGGCGGAAAAAGCTAAATTTCCGACGGATTTTTATTCCGTCGAAAATTTCCGACGGAATTGATGAATTCGTCGGAAATTTCCGACCGAATAAAAATCCGTCGGAAATTTAGCTTTTTCCGACGGAATATTGGGTCCGTCGGAAGCAGTCCGTCGCAATTAGCTTGTTTTCTAGTAGTGTAAATAGTGTAGGAATAAACTATTGCAAGAAAAATAAACTAATCATGAATTTCACTTTTCACAAATAATATATTAAAATCTCATCATTAATTATTGTCGAAGTAATAATCCGAGGTATCACATATTACAAAAATAATACTAACTACAGTTTATGTAAGAAAATACTTCACTCCTAAGTCCTAACACTACCAACAATGAAACAAGAAGTCTAACTTGATCAAAATAAAAACTAACGCTCGTGACATGGCTTGACAAATGCCCAGTTAAACGGCCCAACAAATCTGGGCTCTGATACCATGATAAATTTTGAAATAATATAAAATGGGTCTGGGCAACCCGAACAAGGAGGAGGAGAGTTTGGTCTACAAAATAGGCTTTGGAGCTTCCACACTAAAACCAATTGGCAATAGTAGGAGTAACTCTTCTATCTTATAAAGTGGAACCACCTCTCCTCTTTCTCCAATGTGGGACACTCACAAGTGGACTACAATGGGTTTCTAACACTCTGTAACTCAAGTAATCTGATATGAATTGGTTTGATCGATATTTTTCTAGTATGGTATGATTAGTTTTGATCTGAATAAAAATCCGAAATAAGTATCTTAATTTAATTGTAGAAAATGAGTCCTACATATCAGTCACATTGAATGAAAGAAGAAGCTTTTGTGGGACCTAATAATTAAAGTTGTTTATTAGCATATTGATTGATAACCATAACAAATACTCCATATTTTTTTTTAATAGTACTCCTTTGTCCCTATAATGTTGCCCTATTTGATTATGTATGTCATCAATGCGAGTTTTAAAACATATATACCACCTCCGTTAGATATTATATACAACTTTGAAATATTTTATATCTCACATATAATACCCCAAAATTGCACATAAGATTTAACAGATGTAGTATATATCTTCATTTTCATACATAAAAAATAATTTTTTTTTAAAAAAAACATGATTTTAGTAAAGTATCTCATATGACTATATATATAATTTCTTATATTCGAATTCATAATTAAAGTTTTCAAAGTTTGACCCAAATATTAGCTATGGGGCAGCACAAAAAATAAGGGACAGAAAAAAGTATTAGCATAGCAATTTTGTGCATTATAAATACGACAAAGATTATTCGGCTAATCACACACTAAATCACAATCTATTGCAATCAAATACTGCATACTATCTACACACAAACAATGGAGAAATTAACCATGATTGCCATCATCTTATTGCTTGCAACTTTGACAGGTTCATACTTCATCCATATTGCATAACACTTTCAATTCATCTCATATTTGCAAGTATTAATTACAACACTTTTTGCTTTAGTAAATAGCCACTATTATTATTGTCATCCTCTCATACAACACCACTAGAACAAATTCACTATTGATTTTCTCACTTGCTAACTCGACTTGCGCAACATTTGTATTATTATAAATCTCTTCCAACAAAATTAAAGTTGAGAATGCTTAACTTCATTAATATGTTCAATAATATATTCATGTTTTTTCATTTATCGAAGTGTTACATCATATATATATACTACCTCCGTTACATATTATTTGCAACGATTTGACATAAAGTAATCGTTGCAAATAATGTGTAACGGAGGTTCAATTCAATTATGTCTAAAACTCATTATTTACTTTGGCAGGTTCAATTCAATTATGTCTAAAACTCATTATTTACTTTTTCATACAATATTGTTTGCAGTATGGTATTTTATCATCAGTTATATCATACAATTTAAATTTTTTTGAGATTCATTCTATTAATGTATTTTCCAAGTTATTATACTTTGGCAGTTCTATTCCTAGTTATATTTGTTTACCAACTTACCTAGGAATCGAACTGCCAAACTAAATTAACAATATTTCACATTAGTCTTTTTTATTTTAATTATTGTTTAAGTCAAAATAATTGAATTTAGTAGTATAATTATAAAAATAAACAAATTTAATTTGAAAAGCGTTAAGAACATAAGTATATTATCTACTTACAATTACATATTTACAATAACAATAACATGTTGTTACATGTATAATGTAACTAATTTGTATTATATGGATTTACATGTAGTGCCAACATGGGGAAGGATGGAAGACACCAAAAACGAGAAACAAGAAATACTAGCTGAGGTGAAGAAGATGGAAATGGCACAAAATTTTAAGGTTATACCGGTGGTTGTAAAAGAAGAAGTGGTGGAAATAGTGGAAGAGCCACCAAAGACGGAGAGGTTGCGCGGTTGCGCTGGAGTGGGTGAAAATTGTGTATTTGTCTCATGCTGTCTGACTAGTGGTGCTGGAAATCCTGTCATGTGTTCGGAAGGTCCATACAATTCAGTTTGTGTTGAACTCTTTCCTCCTCCTTATTGGCCTCAGATGCTCAGAAAATTTCTAAGAATATAATTAATTAATGTGGTTTGTTTCAAATAAAATAAATATGCTTCTTGCAGTTTGTGATCAAAAAAAAAAAAAAAAAAAAAAAGAAAAAGAGTGAAAGTTAATTCTAAATTAGCTTTTACTTAGCAATTGGAAGCAAAACTGCAAGAGAGTTGTCTTAATTTGTTTGATGTTTCATATGTTGGTAATTTGTTATGCATGGTTGTTATATACATGTATATGCAACCTACAAATGTATACCTACTACTCTTTATTATCTTTGTGGATCGTGTATGAGTTTTATGTTGTTAGAGAAGTCTTTGTATGTTAATTAAACGTTATTGTACATACTTCTTATCTGCAACGTCATTTAGTTTTAAAAATAGATAAGTCTTGTATATGGCTAGCCACATAGTGTGGTCACATTGGTTTATAAGAGTAATCTTCATTTATATGTATGAGTAACTTTATTTTTTCATAAGAGTAACTCAATGTTGTCCATAAAAATAACCCAAATCCATTATACAAGTAAAAGCAAGTAATTTAAAAATAAGTAACCTCAATTGTTTATTCGAGTAACCCCTATTATTTTGTTTAAAAAAAATGAAAAAGTGATTCCACTTATTTAAGAGTAACCCCTTTGTCTCGTTTAATTAACCTACGTACGTTAAGGTAGCCTCATTTTCTCATCACCGTGACACCCTAATACTAATTAAATTATCTTATATATGACTATGTGAAGTGGTAGGTCACACCATATGGTTAGACACATATAAGAATTTGTGTTTTAAATTAATTTTAATTATACCTTTCTTAAAAAACACACACAAATCTACTATACAATAAATAACGTACTCCATTATAAAGTTCGCCTATACTAACCAAAGTTATCTCCCAAATAAATAAAAATTTCCCCAATTTAAATAAAAGTTTGTTATCTATGCATTATCACAAATTTTTATGAGGTCTTCCCACCCAGTTGTTGAATGTTAGAATATGTTAGAACATTCTGTAATATTCTTGTAATTTTTACCTTCCATACTTAGCCTGAGTGTATCAAATCATTCCCGAATTTTCAGGAGTGATTATAGGGTGGTTGTATGCTATTAAGGCAAGTGACTCAGTATATATTGCTGTAAAACGTGAACCGGAATATAACACACAAAAATTAAAACCCAAAGTCAGTGAAGTGCTTACCTTTTATCTTGGTATCAGAGCCAGGTTGTTTTCCGGCGACCGGAAACGCTTAGGCGACATCATTTACCATGAAAACCGACAACGAATCCATTGTTTCAAAACCAGTAACAATGGAAGACTTATTGCAACTGTTATCACAGTTAAATACCAACAAGTCAACCATTGATACCTCAAATCAACCCATCCAAATTTCAGAGAAACTGAATCACAAAAATTATACAAAATGGTCTAAGTTGATGCAACTCGGCATTGGAGGACGGGAGAGGCTAAACCATATCACAGCCCCACCACCGCCTCCTGAAGATCCCGAGTACACCAAGTGGGCTCAACGAGACTCGATTGTGATTTCATGGGTGATCGAGAATATTGAACCGGAATTACAAAATCAGTTTCTTGATTACCCAACAGCAAGAGAATTATGGAAGGGAATCGAAACAATGTATGGCAGCAGTAAAGATGGATTACAGATTTTTGACCTCACGGTCAGAGCAAATACAATTCAACAAGGGACAGACCCGATTGAGGTCTATTACAGCAAACTCACAGCGATTTGGAAGGAAATCGATAGAAGGCTTCCCAATCCGATGACTTGCCCAGAGGATAAAACGATTTTTAATCGTTTAAATCAACAAAATAGGCTTTATCAGTTTCTTGCAGGGCTTGATGAGACCCTAGACAAGGACCGGCGGGACCTCCTTCACCGAGATCCACTTCCAACGACCGAAGAGGCCTACGCTAGTATCAGAAGAGAACTCTCACGCCGTGGCATAATGAAGACCACTACAAACCCCTCATCAAGTGACTCCCCGAGGATTGGTAGTGGCTTCGCGGCAAAGGGAAGAACTGAAAAACCAGCTTTCCGGCGAGAAGACGATCGGGCGAGTCTGAAATGTACTCATTGTGGTGGGACTCGTCACACAAAGGACGGGTGCTTCAAAATCATTGGGTACCCGTAATGGTGGACCGAAAGAAAGAAGAAGGGGCCAGAAAATCAAGGCAAGGGTACAGCAAAAAAGCCGAGCACAAGCATAGTGGCGTACAGCGCCGGCGATGGTGAAGGAGGAGAAGCCATGGCTGCTGCTTCAACAACAAAATCAGGTTTGCATTTAGAAAGAGAAAGTGATGAAGGTAAAACCCTTACCTTTTGCGTGCCTACCCACGAAAAGGGGGTATATGAATCCAGTAGAAAGAGGTTAAACACTCTTTCTAAGCCCACTAATTTTATTCAGGAAAATAAAATCCTTGAGCCCACTGATCCACTTAGTAGTTTTGAGTCCATGAACAATAAAACTAAACCCATAAATCAGCCACTTAGTTTACTTAGTCACGTTGACAAAAAGGGAAAATGGGTTTTTGATTGTGGGGCAACTGACACTATGACCCATGACATTATGGACCTTGAAAAGTTAAATCAGCCCACAAAAAATCACATCCAGACTGCTAATGGAGAACTAATTAGTGTAAAAGGCTCGGGTTCAATTAATATCTCCAATAATATTAGATTACCCAACTGCCTTTTAATTCCTCAATTGTCTCATAAATTGCTTTCCATTAGCCAGTTAACTAAAGAATTAAATTGTTTTGTTCTAATGGACTCTAGTGGATGTATTGTACAGGATTCTCAAACAGGGAAGATCATTGGGCGTGGTACTGAAGAAAATGGGTTGTATTATGTTGATCAGATGTCTCACCAGGGCAGCGCAGCGCTTGTTCGTGGATCGGTTGAACATCAGCTTTGGACATGGCATCGCCGACTAGGTCATCCATCCCTAGGGTACTTAAAAAAACTTATCCCTTCTCTTGCAAATTCAAAAATAGATTTTGATTGTGAGGCTTGTATTTTGGCCAAAAGCCATAAACATTCATACCCTAGTAGTAATAATCGCACTGAAACTCCTTTTATCCTTATTCATTCTGATGTTTGGGGACCTGCTCCTGAATTTAATAAGCATGGTTTCTTATATTATGTGACTTTTATTGACGATTGCACTAGAATGAGTTGGGTATATTTTCTGAAAAATAAGTCTGATGTATATGATACCTTTATTTCTTTTTATAATATGGCTAAAACACAATTCCAAACACAAATCCGAATTCTTAGATCCGATAATGGGGGGGAATATAAAAACCTTTACCTTGAATCCTTTACCAAAAGCAATGGCCTTATCCACCAAACTACTTGTCCTGATACTCCACAGCAAAATGGAGTTGCCGAAAGAAAAAACAGAACACTACTTGAAATGACCAGAGCCATGATGATTGAATCCCATGTTCCAGCCTTTTTTTGGCCCGAAGCAATTGCCACAGCCAATTACCTTACTAACCGTCTCCCAACCAAAAGCCTTAATTATGATACACCCTTAAACACTCTCAAAACACATACTACTGTTCCCGCAGCTCACCCATTACCCCCCCCCCCCCGGGTCTTTGGGTGCACTGTGTATGTTCATCTTCCTAAACGTAGTAGGAATAAATTAGCTCCCCGAGCTGTTAGATGTGTCTTCGTGGGATATGGGATCAACCAAAAGGGATATCGATGTTTTGACCCTGTCACAAACCGACTCTATACTACCATGGATTGTGACTTTGTTGAAACCGAGTATTACTATCACCACCTTAGATCTCAGGGGGAGGGTTCAGTCGAGGATCTAAGTTGGCTAACCTATCCGGAGTTGGTTGATCCTGATCCAAAAGAACAAGTAGGCAAAGCCACCGAGATAACTGACAACATTCTACAATCCAGCCTACAAGGTGCCTTGCCTGATGATTCAAACACCCTGACTGAGAATCCTATAAGGGATGAAAATGAGGTATGTACTCCTGATTCATGTGAGCCTGCTAATATTCCCTTTGAAGGAAAATCTGGTATGTCTTCTGAAAGTACCAGGGAAGAGGAAAGCCAGGAGCAACAGATTGAAGAAAACTCTGAAAAATATGTGCTACCTCCCCGAAGCACTAGAGGTGTTCCTCCAAAACGGTATGATCTAGACTTTGAAGCACAAAGATCAAAGTATCCAGTCAGCAGACCTAGTGAAGGGAATTTGTCCCGAGCAACAAAAGCCTTTAATGCAGCTATTTACTCTGAGTCCATCCCTACTACAACTGAAGAAGCACTAAAAAGCAAACACTGGAAGAAGGCAATGGAGGAAGAAATCAACGCACTTGTCCGAAACAAAACATGGGAAAAGTGTGTGGTACCTAGTGGAAAAAGACCAGTGGGATGCAGATGGGTGTTCACTATTAAACATAAAGCAGATGGCAGTATTGAAAGATATAAAGCAAGACTGGTGGCCAAAGGATACACGCAAACTTATGGGATAGATTATGATGAAACTTTTTCTCCAGTAGCAAACTTCAACACGATCAGAGTGTTGTTTTCAGTTGCAGCGAACAAAGATTGGCCTCTGTATCAGTTCGATGTAAAAAACGCATTCCTTCATGGAGATCTTTCTGAAGAAGTCTATATGGAAGCTCCACCGGGATTCTCACATGGCTTTGGTAAAGGTGAAGGATGCAGACTGAAGAAAGCCCTGTATGGACTGAAACAGTCACCAAGGGCGTGGTTTGGAAGGTTCACTGTGGCAATGAAGAAGTTCGGATACAAACAGAGCAATGCAGATCATACTTTGTTTCTTAAAAGGAGAGGTACTGCAATTACCTGTCTTATCATATATGTTGACGATATGGTTATAACAGGAGATGATACAGAAGAAATAGAGCAATTGAAGAAGAAACTTTTCAAGGAATTCGAAATGAAGGATCTTGGAAATCTTAAGTATTTCTTGGGAATAGAGGTACTCAGGTCCAAAAGGGGTATCTTTATATCTCAAAGGAAGTATATCCTGGATTTCTTGACAGAGACAGGTATGATAGACTGTAAACCAGCCGACACTCCTATGGTTATGAACCATGGGCTCCAGATTATTGAAGGAGCTAAATCAGTAAATCAGACGCAGTATCAGAGACTCGTTGGAAAGCTAATATATTTGTCTCATACTCGGCCTGATATAGCTTATGCAGTTGGAGTTGTTAGTAGATTCATGCATAAACCTCAGAAGCAACATCTCGAAGCAGTGTACCGGATCTTAAGATAT